GTTGTTTGTGGAAGGTTGCTCACCTCATCCCGTCGTCGCTTTTTCCAATCCGTAAGTTCTTTTTGTTTTCACATAAACCGAACCAACCAATCAACCACAACCAACCAGCCACCAACCAATCGTGCCGAAAGCGAACTGCCGGCTTGCAAGACTTCAGAATGCGTCAAGCTCGTGAAGGCGTTCTGGCGCTTTAGAGCTTTTTTGAGCGCTTTTTAGCTAAGTGTGATGGGGACTTAGCGCTAGGGCAGTCCTCTCGGCACTCGTAATTCTCGCTATGTTGCCTCAAAAAGCATTCGAACAAACGTAGATCTAGTTGCCAAAAAAAGTCGCGCGAATCTGCAGATGTAAGTAAAGAATATGTATTAGGTTGTTCCATAAGTTCTGTCCGATTTAGATTTTTTGAGTTCAAAATGTCATAACTTCTTTCAAGATCAACTTTTTTCCAAGATCTTAGTTTCTATGTGTAGAGCAGTTCCTTGGCTATAAATCAAATATTAAGATCTGCGCAAATCCTTGTTAAGGAAGAAGCAAGAATGCAAAAACTACACAGCGTTTTTCTTCGAACCTGTCTTTTTTGACATGGCAACGCTCCCTTATGAGAATTGATAAACATCTTATCTAACAATGGATAGATAGAGAAATTTTCGTGGATTATTTAGCAACATTAAAAAACCCATTAGGTCTGCGCCGCCGAGAGATTTTTTTGACCAAGCAAAAAAGAAGCCACTTTTTGACCTCGCTTCAGCACATGTGTGCATGCCTACTTACGAATTTGAAAATTTTACAACTGACGTGAGCGCCGAAAAGGAACTGGTGAATGGGCCCTGCTAGCTCTTGCTTTGCCCTAGCACCTCCAACTTTGAGCTTATCGATTACTTCATTAGTTAATTAATTAGTTAATTATTAGTTAATTGATTAGTTAATCAATTCCTTGGCTATCAGATATATATTGCAATCTGCGAAAATCCGTGTTAAGAAAGAAGCAAAGAACCCAAAAACTTTACAGCGTTCTTCTACAAACCTGTCATTTCTGACATTGCAATGCTCCCTTATGAGAATTGAGAGGCATCTTGTCCAACAATCATAACTTATAATAACGGGCTAAGGATGTTTACGTGACTTTGTGTGTCTGTGTGTGTGTGAGTGTGTCTGTTACGAAATTCGCGGAGCATGTTCCAGCCAGCGTTCTAAGCCCAAATTTTGTATAGCGCATGCTACCTTCATGAAAGTCCAACATGCAAAAGCACGAGTAAATTCGTTGTGTGGATCCCTCAGAAATTGCGCGCCAAACGGGTCCACCTGGCTTCTGCACCGCAAAATTCGGTCCGTATCACCAATTTTTGCAGAGTCGTGGATGAGTTTAGTAGGCAGCTGTGCAAGCGATGGAGTTTAGCCCGAAAAGTGGTCGAAAGTTTAGTGCATAACGAAAACGGCACCAAAAAGATTTGGTTGTGTAAATGGTCAATTTGCCAAGGTTCTAGCTAAGCGCTTGAGAAGGATTTTCGCACAGAGATGTAGCTCAAGGTTACTATTACCTCTATAGCGACTACCAGGCCATGACAAATCCAAAAACCTATTAAAATTTGCGGTTCTTTTCCTGCGAAAAGTTTCATCCACGCGAAATCACCGATCTCACGTGAAAAAACTTTCTAAATGAGTGGTTGTTTACATTTTATTCGTGGTAGTCGGCATAGCGCGGTGAGTTCCAGTGCCACGATTCACATGGATAGTAGAGCCAGTGCGAGCCTCTGCGAAGCAGAGGTGACGCACTGGTATATAATACTTTCCTACTTTCGTCTGCCATCATGAATGTATTTCAATGAATTTTTCATTCTAGTTACTCCAATGATCAGTAAGAGTACAAAATCCACTTTTCAAGTGTAGTATCTCCATGTACTAGAATACCAAACTTTTGGCGCATGTTTGAAAGAGTTGGCCAAGAGTTCCAAATGCGACACTAAATCTGCAAGATATTTTAATCTTATATATAAAGCTGAATGTCTGTTTGTATGTCTGTATGTCTGTATGTCTATATGTCTGTCTCTATGTATGTACGTATGTTCCGAATAGAAAATTCCATTTCTGAACCGATCGGGACCAAACTTGGCACACATACACTTCGGGCCCCGGCGGGTGTCATAGGCTACTTTTCGTGTCGATCGATATCGATTTTATCGATTTTTTGCAAAATTTGAGCTACGGGGCTGGGAGTTGGCACAGGGGGGTAAGTGAGCATGGGGATTCCGAATACAATATTAGTTTTTAAAATCGTAAAAAATTGCATTACTTTTATCGATTTTATCAATTTTTTTGCAAAGTTTGAGCTACGGGGCTGGGATTTGGCACAGGGGGGTAATCGAGCTCAGCATGCTCGATTACACCCCTCTGCCAAATTCCAGCCCCCTAGCTCAAATTTTGCAAAAAATCGATAAAATCGATAAAAGAAATGCACGGTTTCGAAAACTAATATTGTATTCGTAATCGGCATGCTCGATTACACCCCTCTGCCAACTCCCAGACCCGTAGCTCAAATTTTGCAAAAAATCGACAAAATCGATATCGATCGATGACGAAAAGTAGCCTATGACACCCGCCGGGGTCCGAAGTGTATGTGTGCCAAGTTTGGTCACGATCGGTTCAGAAATGGAATTTTCTATTCGGAACATACGGCGGAGCCGGGTAAGCCAGCTAGTTTGCTATAATTCTTAGATGAACTTTAGAACTTGCGTGTAACTGACTAACTTCTCCGTTATATACTGTGATTGGACGAATCATAACTTCGGCTTGATTTATAATAATACGATATGTTTCACAAACTTACTCTAGCGCGAGCACTTACAAAATTTTGTGAAAGCGTCATTGTATCCAAAACGTGAATAAAAGGTAACCCAAAATGCTGGAAATTTAGCTGCAATCATGTACGAATCCTAAATCCTTGGCCTGAAGAACTTATTCGTTTCTCGATTCCAATGCTTTCATCTTCAAAAACAGTACACGTCTTACAGTGCGTGTACATATTCATAACGAGGGCAGCTAGAGGTAGGAGTGATGGGCGGAGCCGCAGTTGGCCCCCATAAAGGTGTGATGTCCTCTAACGGATTTCTGAAGGTGCCAAGTACCCCTGCGAGGAAAAGCGGCTAAGCTTTGGGAACTCCTGCCACGCCGCCGCTGTCTCCCCCATGCACGAACCATCTGGGTTGGACGCAATGGCGCCCAATCTTTGCGTGTTATGAATCGATTTTACCTAGAGTTATCCGCGACGCCAAATTCGAAAATATATTTAAGAAATCGGGAAACGGCGAAAAAGTGCGTTTTTTAAAGTTTTACAACTTGAAGTGGAACGGTCTTCGCTAAGGATAAGACGCAAAATCGTTGACCTACGACTTTAACTGCGGCGTCATGCGTACTCTGGCGCAGAAATGAGTTCAAACAGATGGAAAGCCCTGCTCCAAGGCGTTAGTTTTCCAGCCTTCCAGCGGCGGCATAGCAGGAGGAACCAAAGGTCTTGCCGCCATATCCGCAGGAGATAATCAAGAGCGCGAGCACTGCGGGGAAGATTTGGCAATGATCCAGAACTATTTGGCAGAGAAACATCTAGAACAATTGCGATAACAAACCCCATATTTGTCTGAGAAAATGTTCGAAAAAATAATGGAAACAGTTTTGGATTCCGCTTTTCAAGACCTTCACTAATATAAGAATATGAACAAAATTCAAAACTTATAGTTTCAGAACGGAAAAAATTCTTTTATTTGGAAAATCGCTGGAAATTTAGAAGGCAAACTAGAGCCTGCAACCGAAAAGCTGGAATGCGGCTTTTGGGAAAGCGAAAAATGTTTGTTACAGTTGCTGGAGAATTCGGATCTAAAATACTAGAAATAGTCCCATAAGTTCTGAGATTCAATCTGATACTTACGGGAATACGTTCTAGCAAGGTTCAGCATTTTTCAGTTGTTGAAATTGTGCTTCTACTCAAGTGGTAAGGCAAAAATTGAGATGATATTCGGTCTTTTTTTACAACGTGTAAAGTTTTCTTACGGGCAAATCTGCCGAGATTTTCAAACGATGTGCTTGACGTTTGCCTTTTGATTTTTACGCTGCATGTATGTACGTAGAACATAAGGAATCTTTTTGTTGGTGCGATTTACTTTTGCATGTCCCAGTTTGGAAAATTATTTGGGTCTTGAGAGAAGTGCAAAATAATCTTAATTCGCTTCCAAAGTGATATGCTACCATAGCTCTCTGGTTGCGCGACGATGCGGCGACTTGATTCTATTGATATCCAAAAGTTAACCAAAATCGGTTTTCAAACATTCAAGAACTCTTGGTCGACATTCTAAAACTTGAGCATCGTTTCTTCCAAGTAAGTTTTCTGGCAAAGTTCTTAGGAGATTGAAATATAATCTTCTTGATTGCATTTACAATATTTAGCAATCATTTATCTCCTATAAATGCGCCATGAAACGCCGATTTCAAAATTGCCTCACTTATCCATTGAACACTTCCTCAAGCAAAGTTACGAGGAATTACTTTCTTAGGACTTTCTCTGGGTTTAACTGCCAAGTTCTCCTGGATCTTTGTCAAATCTTCTCCACATTGCTCGCGCTCTCAATCTGCGGATACAAACAGCTGGGCCTTTGGTTACTCCTGCGCGTCCTCCCATTCCAACCATACTTCATGCTTGTGATAATACGTCATGGGCACGCACTCGCGCCATGGCATGTCCGAGGGAACACACTTTTGCATGACACTGAAATCCCGAAACCCCACCTTATCCGGACGCCCCCTTCAATGTGATCCTAACAATTATGAAAGCATATTGATTGTTTTGTACATGTTTGACATGCAGAACAGTTGTATGTATGTATGAATTGTTATATGTACCAATCTCAAGTTGCCGTTGAGGATATTATCTCTCCACTGTAACTCGATGGGGCCGCAATTACGACAAATCACGCTTGGCGACGTGCAGAAATGGCGCTGACTAATCAGCTGTTCCCGCTGCTTTTCCCACGTCATGCGTTTTATTGATGCACTGTCAGATCGTTTTCCATCAGGATAGATGCCTCGAGTGCGCCTTCGAAGTGCAGAGACCCTTACCGGGGTTCCTCTACATGCTCGACTGGTGCGTCTAATTACAGGTGGGGAAGCATGGACCGTCCATCATCTGCAAGTCTTCGTGCTGACGTTCTTCAGGTATCTTTCTTATTCTACGTGCTCTGCATGATTTACTTATAAAAGTTCGTTTTTAGTATTTATTGATTAGTTTTTCTGGCTGTGGGCTAGAAACGGTACGCTTATATTTTTGCCGCATAATTTAGTGAGAAACACTTGGTATTTTTCCTTGCTTGCTCGTCTGTTGAACCTACGGTTGAAGCTTTTGCTGACTACATTCGTCCAAATACTGAAGTTCTATTTGCGATTGTGTTGGATCAAATATCCCTTTTAGCTTCGCCTTCATTCATGCCACTCGAAAGACATTGTCCACCGTGAAACCATCCTTGATAGCTACATGGACTCAAGGAACAGAAACACGGTGCGGAATTATCATATCGGAGTGCTTTTACATTCCTTTTTGAACCCTAGTGCATTTTGATGCAGTTTTCTCACAATCATTTTTGATGCATTTTTTTTTCACACAGTGCTGTTGATTGTATTCGATTGCTGAGTTCACACAATTTTTGCAGTCCTCCGCTATTTCCTTCCGATCAAGCGGCCTCTGAGTTTCTCGCAAAGCTTGATGGCGGATTCCTTTTGGCTTATTCCATAGTGAGTTTCCACTATCCACTTGAAAATATAGTAATAGACAATCTGGTTAATGGCATCTCATCCAGACTTAATCATGGCCATCAAAAGAGATTCTGAATTTTTGGTTGAAGGGTCTCTTTGGAGGTGGTGTGCTTGGTGATCGCTACGAACCACGTATCGTTCTATGCATAGGGATGTGGCTGTCGGCAATAGTGGTAAGTTTTTGTCTAAGTGCGATCAATAGCAGCATATTGAGATTTCGAATCATTCCTAATTCTTTGAAGGCTTTTTTCTTTGGTTACGTCACAGAATACTTCCATCTATATTCTCAACTAATATATGCTTGTCTTTGGATTTCTGGGGGTCTGTTCCAGTCTGTCGCATGGCCTACCGAGGTGACTCTTCTTTTTTCGAGCTACCTTACTCTTTTGAACCCCTCTCTAGATATGTATTGTCGGCAACTGGTTTGGACACAATTCTCGAGGGGCTGTGATGGGCTTGTGGTCTGCCTGTGCAAGCGTGGGCAATATTATTGGCACGATGATTTCTTCAAGATTAGTACTGATGGGTTATCAGGTACATTTCTCATATGTCTATGTTCCGTTCCGTAATGCAACCCATTACAGTACGCTTTTGCTGTAAACTCACTGTTGCTGTTCGTGTTTGGTTTTATCGTGTTTTCCAACCTCAAGTCAGCTCCAAGAGACATTGGTGAGTTCAGTTGATGCAAACAAAATTGCAGACAGGATCGTAGCTTTAGGTCTTCCTGATCCTGTCGAGTCGCCAGATGAACTGAATCGAGTCATAGAAGAGCCGACTCAACGGCCTGTGCCTATCAGTTTTTGGAGGGCATGGGCTTTGCCTGGCGTTCTTTCGGTTGGTTCTCTCTAGTGTTGTATCTCGTCCTCGCATTTTTGTCATTATCTGTGTTCTGTTATAAAAACCATTTTCCTGTTTCTCATCATATCTGCGAGGTATTTTGAGCGCTTAGCCCACAATTTGTTAAAGGCAGTGGGTCGGCAAAACTCAATAACTCAGGATTTCAACGTGCTTTCCTTATCGCCCAAGTTTGAAAACAGTGCAATCCCGGTTGCACAGCATGCCTTCCCTGCCGAAAAAATTGCTCTCAAACTCACACGCGCAGACTAATCTTACACGCATTCGGACGAGCTGACAAATTCCTTCTCACCATTGGAGGCTGCCCGCCGCAATGCTATAACCATTGGGTCCTGCAACGATTCAGCGTCATCAGCCTTGCTCCACTCGTCCACTTTTCAAAAGAAGGGCATTGAAAAACGCTCATTTACGCCGTTTTCAAGCTCTCAAAGGTGCATTTTCGGGATCAGCGTATTCAGTAACCCCAGGTAAGCGAAAATTTCACTAGGTTGAGATTTGCCGAGCCACTGCCTTCAAACATCGAATCTGTAAAAACTTTTCCTTGGTCATCAGCGCTTATCCTAATGGCCTGCGAGTGACTCACTCCACCTTTTTCAGTATTCGCTTGCCTTCGCATGCCTCAAACTAGTCAATTACGGCTTCTTCTTCTGGCTTCCTTACTATTTGCATTCAAACTTCGGCTGGAGCGAGGCTGATGACGCTGAATCGTTGCAGGACCCAATGGTTATAGCATTGCGGCGGGCAGCCTCCAATGGTGAGAAGGAATTTGTCAGCTCGTCCGAATGCGTGTAAGATTAGTCTGCGCGTGTGAGTTTGAGAGCAATTTTTTCGGCAGGGAAGGCATGCTGTGCAACCGGGATTGCACTGTTTTCAAACTTGGGCGATAAGGAACCCACCACGTTGAAATCCTGAGTTATTGAGTTTTGCCGACCCACTGCCTTTAACAAATTGTGGGCTAAGCGCTCAAAATACCTCGCAGATATGATGAGAAACAGGAAAATGGTTTTTATAACAGAACACAGATAATGACAAAAAATGCGAGGACGAGATACAACACTAGAGAGAACCAACCGAAAGAACGCCAGGCAAAGCCCATGCCCTCCAAAAACTGATAGGCACAGGCCGTTGAGTCGGCTCTTCTATGACTCGATTCAGTTCATCTGGCGACTCGACAGGATCAGGAAGACCTAAAGCTACGATCCTGTCTGCAATTTTGTTTGCATCAACTGAACTCACCAATGTCTCTTGGAGCTGACTTGAGGTTGGAAAACACGATAAAACCAAACACGAACAGCAACAGTGAGTTTACAGCAAAAGCGTACTGTAATGGGTTGCATTACGGAACGGAACATAGACATATGAGAAATGTACCTGATAACCCATCAGTACTAATCTTGAAGAAATCATCGTGCCAATAATATTGCCCACGCTTGCACAGGCAGACCACAAGCCCATCACAGCCCCTCGAGAATTGTGTCCAAACCAGTTGCCGACAATACATATCTAGAGAGGGGTTCAAAAGAGTAAGGTAGCTCGAAAAAAGAAGAGTCACCTCGGTAGGCCATGCGACAGACTGGAACAGACCCCCAGAAATCCAAAGACAAGCATATATTAGTTGAGAATATAGATGGAAGTATTCTGTGACGTAACCAAAGAAAAAAGCCTTCAAAGAATTAGGAATGATTCGAAATCTCAATATGCTGCTATTGATCGCACTTAGACAAAAACTTACCACTATTGCCGACAGCCACATCCCTATGCATAGAACGATACGTGGTTCGTAGCGATCACCAAGCACACCACCTCCAAAGAGACCCTTCAACCAAAAATTCAGAATCTCTTTTGATGGCCATGATTAAGTCTGGATGAGATGCCATTAACCAGATTGTCTATTACTATATTTTCAAGTGGATAGTGGAAACTCACTATGGAATAAGCCAAAAGGAATCCGCCATCAAGCTTTGCGAGAAACTCAGAGGCCGCTTGATCGGAAGGAAATAGCGGAGGACTGCAAAAATTGTGTGAACTCAGCAATCGAATACAATCAACAGCACTGTGTGAAAAAAAAATGCATCAAAAATGATTGTGAGAAAACTGCATCAAAATGCACTAGGGTTCAAAAAGGAATGTAAAAGCACTCCGATATGATAATTCCGCACCGTGTTTCTGTTCCTTGAGTCCATGTAGCTATCAAGGATGGTTTCACGGTGGACAATGTCTTTCGAGTGTCATGAATGAAGGCGAAGCTAAAAGGGATATTTGATCCAACACAATCGCAAATAGAACTTCAGTATTTGGACGAATGTAGTCAGCAAAAGCTTCAACCGTAGGTTCAACAGACGAGCAAGCAAGGAAAAATACCAAGTGTTTCTCACTAAATTATGCGGCAAAAATATAAGCGTACCGTTTCTAGCCCACAGCCAGAAAAACTAATCAATAAATACTAAAAACGAACTTTTATAAGTAAATCATGCAGAGCACGTAGAATAAGAAAGATACCTGAAGAACGTCAGCACGAAGACTTGCAGATGATGGACGGTCCATGCTTCCCCACCTGTAATTAGACGCACCAGTCGAGCATGTAGAGGAACCCCGGTAAGGGTCTCTGCACTTCGAAGGCGCACTCGAGGCATCTATCCTGATGGAAAACGATCTGACAGTGCATCAATAAAACGCATGACGTGGGAAAAGCAGCGGGAACAGCTGATTAGTCAGCGCCATTTCTGCACGTCGCCAAGCGTGATTTGTCGTAATTGCGGCCCCATCGAGTTACAGTGGAGAGATAATATCCTCAACGGCAACTTGAGATTGGTACATATAACAATTCATACATACAAT